TCTACTGTACTATAACAGACACTTATTACACCCCCCATGCTATAAGAGACACTTTCTACTATAATAGACACTGAGACCCTCTACTGTACTATAACAGACACTTATTACACCCCCCATGCTATAAGAGACACTTATTACACCCCCCCCATGCTATAAGACACTTTCTACTATAATAGACACTGAGACCCTCTACTGTACTATAACAGACACTTATTACACCCCCCATGCTATAAGACACTTTCTACTATAATAGACACTGAGACCCTCTACTGTACTATAACAGACACTTATTACACCCCCCATACTATAACAGACACTACACTATGGGGGGGTGTAATAAGTGTCTGTTATAGGAGTCTAGTATAGTATGGGAGTGTAATAGGTGTCTATTATAGTATACAGGAGGTGTGATGAGTATTATAGTACAAAGTGTGTATTATAGTACACTGCATGCAATAAGTGTCTATTATGGGGGTGTGATAAGTGTCTGTTATAGTATAGATGGAATGAGTGTCCATTATAGTACACAGTGTCTATTATAGTACAGTGTGTGCAATAAGTGTCTACTATTGTACAGGTGGTGTAATAAGTGTCTATTATAGTATGGGGGTGTAATTAGTGTCTATCATACATAGTACAGTGTGTGCAATAAGTAGCTATTGCAGTATAGTAGATGGAATAAGTATTATAGTACAGTAGATGGACTAAGTAGCTATTATAGAACAGTAGATGGAATAAGTTTCTATAAAATGGTAGATGCAATGTGCAGCTATTATAGAACATTTCATGGATTATGTAGCTATTATAGAATAGTACATTAAGTATTATAGTATATAAATAACTTATAGTATGTAACAAATATACATAACAATTTAACAAAAATATATATATATATATATATATATAATAAAGTATATGTTTATATAAATGTGTATGTACACACATATTTTAAGAGATTTTTCTATCAGGCATGTGCTATAACCAGAGGAAAAAAGACAAAAAGAGAGAGATCACTCCCCATGGGGAAAAGCCATGCCTCATTCCCTCCTCCTCCACTCTTCTCTCGTAATTTTGGGCACACGTGCACTCACCAGAGTGAAACAGGGAAGAAGCAGGAATAGTGAGAAAGCAAGCTGCCAGATCTGGGACTCAAACCCTGG